TAAAAGACTATATAAATGATACAATGGTAGATGAAAAATATAATGTCCGGTGAACGTAAACATATCAGTAATTACTAACTCCGAATCAACATTGGAACTATAGGATTGAAACAATTTCATAGAAACCACAGATTCACACTACATCAACATTCGTCGTGATTTCTACATATATTATGCATCAAATATAGGCAACGTACATCTGTGAAATATTTAAAAAAAAAAAAAAAATACAGTATCACCAAACACGGGATGTAACAATTGTATATCTCTGGGGGCGTTGTAAAATACATGTTATCTTTAACTGTTTTCCCATTCATCAGCTTGACCAAGGTCGCAGGATTATAACCAAGTTCTTGTTCATGATGACAAATGACCCATATTAAGGACGCCATAAACAAACGCCTTTTACATGTTTATTTGCGTGACAGGTTGACTAGCATCATCAACGTTTTCTTACCAAGCACGTATATAGCAGATCGGATCGTCAGTATCATAATATCACGCCAATCTCGCAGTTAAAACAAAGAAAACAAGAAAAGCTATAACATTTGAAGATGGTTGGATGCCCATTATCCAGTAAATGGGTAATGTTTTCGAGAAAAAAAATCGAAATTTCCGAAAACAATAATTGTAACTTCATTTCGACGAGTTCGTACGACGTGGCTTTTTACCTAAATCCGGATAAAAAACAATTTTGACGAAAAAATACGACTTAATAACATTTTCAAAAAATATCTTGTGTGGCATAACCAGTATTCGTAAAAGCTAATGTTTGTCAACGCAATCCTGTATAATAACATGACCATAGTTTTCGATTTAATCTATTCGTGCCGAAGTACATTTTAATTGCGATTGTGGTCCGTGTAGAAAACCAGTTCGGACAAAGAATATTGCTTATATAGTTGCTGCATTTGTTCGTAAACTTTTGGGCATGTCCAGGTTTTAGATGTACTCTTTTATAATAGATTTCCGATTTGTATATTTTCAAAATAATACGTAAAACGCTTTGACAATAGATACATGGATAAGCAATCTGTTTGAGAGCCGCATCTCGAAATTATGATGTACGTATTTGTCTTGGAAATGTTTGAATAAATATGTATATATATTTGTATAAATCCATCCTCACAACCGTGCTCATCCGAAAATAGTCTCATCTGCCAACAGGCCCTTGCCAATATGTGATAAATAACGAGAACTTGAGAGAGATATACCTATTCTGCCGCTGTTGTTGATAAGAATGGAGTACACGTCGTAGTACGCTCATTGCACGCTTACAGAGAATGGCGATATTATGATACTTATTTGCCATGTGTTGCAATGACAATGTTATCCCCAGATTGTTCATGTAATTCTGAGGTCCACTTTGTTGCAATATGTTTTTATTACAAATGACGCATTGACCTAATCAACAAAATCATCTCCTTATTTAGTTGTTCTAAATAATAATATTTCAGTTTGTTTTTTTAGAAAACAAGTTGTATTATCTTTCAACTCTTTCTTTTTTCGAAGATAAATTGCGTATCTTTATAAATCAGTTTTCTGCGGGAAAGGGACTAAAGACGCAATCAAGAAACTCTTACAATACCCATCATTTACTGCACGTTCTTAATTCGCGCGTTCCGTAGTTACAATTCGATGCGATATGGACAGGCAGTAATTCTAGAGCCGCGCCATCTTTTGAAATAGTGAAAAAAAAAATCAGTGAACGCAAACATTGGGATTAAACCCAAATATATAATTATATTGTCTATGCGATCAGTTCTTTATTGGTCCCATCCCCGGGGAAGCACCTGTGACCAAATTCATATGTCACAAATATATCAATACAGTCACATTTGTCATTATTGTTTTGGTGGGACCAAGAATCTGGCAGCATCTGCCGGTAAGTTCATACGTGTAGTGTGTTACATCGTGCCGGCTAATCCAGGATCCTCTCGCTATTGAACCCGATAGCTTTAAGCCGGGATTATCTTTCTACTTTACTCATCATCACGTTCACACCAGTTGCACAACAGTGGTTTTATTATTATTAATCGTGTTTTGTTGGAGGGTTAACTACTATTGGGTTGCTCTATTGAGAAGAGTCTGCCGGTGTTTCCCGACACCGATGCGACATTCAAACCCATTGTGAACAAGCCAAGCCTTACTTCCCGATCGACATTTGAATACTAAACTTTAAAAAAAATAGTCACGGCTTTCGGCCTTGGAATTTCCTGAACTATTTCATATGACTAGCTATTTAACAGTCTGAAAAAAATGTGAACGTCCGAATTACGAACTGAATTATGATTATGATCATGCTTGAATAGAATTTCAATTCTATTCTATCCACAATTCAGACTGAATTTTAAATATTTTGAATAAATTTCTATATTTTTACTAGTGTAAAGCGCGGCGTCGGCCTGAGACCAATGGCAGAAGCCAGATATGATTTAATGTATATCTAACCCTGAAATTGATATTGAATGTTTAGAGATTTTTGTGTATGTTATTTGTTAATTTATGGACTAAATACAAATTAAAAGATTGTACTAACTTGTCATTCGGTTACTACAATGTACTTTTTAGGGTGTTACATTTGTTGTGGGGTTACAGAAAATCAAATTTGTTTCTATTAAACAAATTCTATTTGATTATATTTTACACCAATTTAAATAAGTTTCTCTTCCAAATAGCATATTTAAAAAAAGACTACATTGTTTACATTGTGGTAAAGCTTATAACACAATGCTAACTGGGGAACCTCGCTCGAAAGTGTGAGTCTGCATACCGTACTTTAGCCGAGTATTGGTTAGTGTCATGGAAATCAACTTGTTTAATATAAAATGACAATAGTACAATTACATACATGACAATGTTTGAAGAAAATAAATACGCACAGTTTGTTCAAAATTAAAAAGTCAATATTATTTCAAAATTAAAAACAGTCATGCGCACCGGGATATAAACCCTCTTTAAACCCATAATCATGAATAACGCCAAATGTTGCAACATGTTGCACGTTTTTTTTTTTTTTTTTTTTTGGTATTTATTTTATCCCTTTGTTATTTTTTCGACCAAATGGACATATTTTTTCTATATGTTGTATGTCTCTAGAACATTTTTTGGCGAGAGATACGAATCAAAATTTCCAGTTTACTTTGTGGAAGATGGCAAAAGTTAACATTGGTGTTCAAAGGTGTTACTACTACGTATTATGTTCTAAAAATCTATTACAAAAAAAGTATTAGAAAAAAATCATGAAAAAAACGATGTTTGATATTTTGTTAGAGGTGACAAAAGAATTAAAATTACACGCGAAGAACATGTAATCACTACAGCATGGGGTGTGAATGTATGCATGAATGACCTCAAATAATTGTCGTAAAATCACAAATGTAAATCCTAATTAACACCAGATTGTTGACATTACGTAACCACTCACTTCAAGACAATAGCTACAGGTGGTACTGAAACAATCTTTTTGTCAGGGGATTATTTAAAAAAAATACCGCGTGATATATGTTTCTTTCAAAATATGTGCGTCCTTTTAGGAGTTTCAGTAGTAATCCGTTTCAACTAATTCAAAATAAATCCAGAATATGAAAGACCATCATCAGGAATTCGTGGGTTTTTGCGCACGTGGTACGCTGTTCGATTATGTTAGCATGTTATAGCGTCGTTTGTCTAAATTTGTCGAAATCGCGCATATTTATCGTCACATCCATGCAACTGAAAATGCAACTGCGGTATATATTCAGAATATTACGTTCGATCAGCCGGTCACCAGACAATCTGATTTGAGCAAAAAAAATAATTTAGCAGACGAATTTCCTAAGCGTTTTATTGAATAAAAGAAGAGCCGCCCTTTAACCACTTTAAATTTATGTGTCTTTACATGGGTATATATGTTGTGTCTGCTTTATTGTTTTCATTACCATAATTATTATAATTTTACAAAGTCAATATATGTGTACAGTGCGAAATGATTATTATTATTACATATGCAAAGAATGAATGAATCAACGAATGACCGATTCTTCTTTTAAAATAAGGTTTCAAAATGAACATCAATATGTTCTTATGTTGTAACGAGGTTGTTTAAATGAACATTAATGTATTCTACAATGGTTCATCTGTTCAATCAAGGATGCCAAATAGATATCAGTACTGATACGGAAATGATTCTCCGTTACTAGGAAATGAACATCACTATATCAAATACCTGCTCCCTTAGCCAAACAAAGATAAGTTGTGTGGCACTACGTGATAAAAGTCAGAGTATTGTTTCCATGTTTGTTCTGTTAGCGAAACATGTGTTATGTTACTTACTGATGATTCCCTCCACAGTGTAATGTGTTATTTTATCATTGTGTCGAGAAATCGACCGGTAACGACTTCTTTTACACTCTCAAAATCGTATCGATTGAAAATGTTGCATGGTCTGTGTGCGAGAATCAAAAGCAAAATCAACAAAAACGTTGAGGAGAACAGTGGAGATATGGATAGGAAAAGAAACGACCTGAATAAACGAAGTGGTTGAAAATACAAGAAAACATTGTCGTTTACACTATTCTGGCCTTTCTTGTACGGTGACCGAATTTAAGAACATAAAATAAGATGAATCAAGTAATTTCGATAAATCGTTCAATTACCATTGTGTTCCCTTTTATATCTCCTGCGAGACTATATGCGTGTATGAACGGCAGCATCAACAATATCACGTGACACCCTCCTTAGTCGCGTATCATTATATTTTGCGTCCCATATAATTAACACTGAGCATGCTTTGTCACGGAAAAACGTTGGAAAAATCCATATGGGCTGGAAGACGAGCTCCTCTATCGGCTCCGCTATATCCAGAGAAAACAAATGAACGAAACGGTAGAGTCGACAATAGGAGTTGGAAATTGAGTTATAAGTCGGTGTCCCTAAGGTTCGTGATGATTGACAGCCCATATTTGGGAACAATAGATCGCTGACTTTTCTCTTATGTTTGCTCATCAGCTTGTTGCTAGGTTTGTACACCCCTTGGGAAGGTGTCGCTCTTACAACGTGTCCGCATACTCGCTTAGTAGTCACCGATAGAAGACAAACAATGAAGCCTTCCATGTTTGCCTCGTGTCGATCTGGATCACTGATTAAAAAGCATAGTCCGTTTTAACTCGACCGTTATTAACTTTCTAAGCTACGATGTTGTCTCAGCAACAATAGTGAGAATTTTGAACGTGTAAACAAATTAGACGCGCTGGTTCATATATGTGGTGTCCGAAACTATAAGACCATTTTAGGACGTGGTACGACGCTGAGGAAATCACAGAAAACAAGTTTTGGCCGATTTTCAACCGAATTGACTTTGGTTCATAAGTTGTGGGCGTCCCTTTTGTGAGTTTTCAATCCGATTAACGGCTTAGGCAGTCTGACTTCATCTCCCTTGTGGACAACTACCCATGAAAGTATCGGGACCAAGCCGTAGCAGTATTATTGCTTCGGTGTCGTAGCCGCGGAATGGAAGACCACAGGGTGACCCTATATACAAATGTAGTTGAACTGGTACCCTATCTTGATGGTGAAAAAAAAAAACAATGTTATTCCTTAATAATCCACAAGATGTCTTGAGAATGTTGATACATATGCATGCAGTAGAAGGAGATTATGGCTCCATTCATTGCATTGTAAATTGATTTGAATTCACGGTGAGCTGGGGGTACTGTAGGGTCTAGCGTCCTGCTTTCATCTATCATCTATCTTTGTGTTGTTGAAAACATCGACTGGACATGTTCCAACAACACCGGTTCACGATAACACTCCTTGCTTCCTTCGCTATTTTTCATTTGTTACATTTTGTAAGGATTTTTCTTTTTTTAAAAGCAATTCTATTTTGCTTCGCAGGCATTGATTGTTCCGCTACTGACACATTTACCAAAAACATAAAACGAATCATATACACATATCGCGTGTTTCTTTGTTAATACTTACGTGTAATGAACTCCTGAATCGATTAAATCACATACTTACATACTGTTAAGAAGGCGGCACCTGAGTGTCAAAATTGGTTAATGTCGACGATTAACGTGTTTTTCTGCTGGTTTCTATAGTAACACAAAATTCGTTGAGTGTATTGCTACATGGTGCACGTAGCTATGAAGGCAGGAACACGTTTATAAAAAAAAACACATTACATTCAAATATGATTTTAAACAATGACTTGAATGTTCAAAAATATGTTTGTATTTCAAGTGCAGTATACTTTGATATCATACGGCCGAATATGAGCAATCATCCTGATGTCATAGGGGTTCGACGCCGCGTGGCGCGTAATTTAACGTAACACAACAGAAAAGACATGTGATAATTCATCCGATTTGAAAACAACGAGTCAAACTAATTGAAACCGTCGGAGCTACTTACGTCGCACTCAAATCAAACAGTAATTATTCATGACTTTCGTCTGTGATCCATAAATGACACCGAAACACTGATATCCTGATTCGATTCCCACCATAGCAAAGTTGTAAATATATATGAATTGCTGAATATATATATATGGAACTTTCCATTTCAATGAATGAAAATATAGTGTGTATGATTTGATGCCCCTCGAGTGAAAATAACCAGACATTAGGTAATTTATATAAGTCCCAGAAGTCGTCGGAATATTCTAACAGACTCGTAACAAGACTTGGGATATAAAATTAAGGAGAAAAAAAAACAGAATGTATACGTTATGTGCCGTCGCGTCTTTTTGTTGTTGATTTTGTTTAAATGAAACCAAATCCTTTTTTGATTGACATTTTTTATTAATAACTTATAACTCGTTTCAATTGTTCAAATAACTTAAATCTGTTGAACTATTACACAATTCGGACAATAATTTACTTCAATAAAACTTTAACAACAAACTGTGTCGACTGAACCAATTACTCATATCCTAAAGTAAACGTCAATGGCCTGCATTACGGCCTCTCTCGCATGGGTAGTACCCGGTACAAAGTGTCTGTGGCCTTTATCTTTGGAATTGCACCGTCTAAATAATAAGATAATGTCTTAGATAATGACAGAGTGGACTACTGGTCATATCGGTTACACGAGTCGCCACGTATGTATTGTGAACATCTTCCCTGTCCCGACAGAAGGACTCTCGCCTTTTGTCCGGGTCCACGTTTGATGGTAGCAGAGAAATTGGGAATTAAAAAAAAAAAAGATTACATCGAATTTGTGCATATGGGGTAAAATGAAATAAATTGTACAGTTAAATTCGCCCCGTTTCTAGTTATTATGACCGCACTCGCTTAACAAACTCGGAACAATTCTTCATAATGCGGTCTTTATTCGAGATGGTCGTATCCCCTCTGTCTGTCTCTTGTTAATCGTGTGTTTCGGACTCGTTTGATTGTTTGCTTACGTCGTCATCGACAACATTGTTCAAACTTGCAGAATCCCGTTTTTGTCTCCTACTGTGTATTTTTCTGTGTCTTCGCAAGTGACCACTGGTTCTAAAAGCTTTCCCGCAGCCACACGCGTAAGGTCGTTCATCGGTGTGTATTCGCTTGTGTATGACTAAACTATTGGAACGAATGAAAACTTTCTCACAAACCGAGCATTTGTATGTGGTGTCCCCAGTATGTCGGCGTACGTGAGCTTCTAATAAGGCCTTCTGGTTGAATCCTTTGTCGCAATATTGGCACTGGTACGGTTTGGTCTCGAGGTGGAGAGTCTGGTGGGTTTTTAAACTCGACGGACGGGCGAATAATTTTCCACATAGTTTGCAAGGATATGTTTTTTCGCCGTTGTGTGTTATCTGGTGTGATTTCAGTATCGAGAGTGCCGTGAATTTTTTATCACAAAGATTACACTGGAATGGTCTCTCCCCGGTGTGCAATCTCTTGTGTAGCACCAAAGTTTCTTTTCGACTCAAAACTTTACCACATTCTTCGCATTCGTATAATTTGTCGGATTTTGTCTTCCCTCTCGACGCTGTTCTCCGTTCAGCTTTGGGGCTACTTGATTTAATTACCTTGCTGCCTTGTTCAGTTTGCTTGGACTCCGTTATTTTCACACCGTCGTTAAGTCGCTTCTTCTTTTCTTTCTTCTCACTGCTTAACACCCCGTCAATAGCTTTGATTTCGATATAAGGCTTCTGTGTAACTGAAGAAAGCTGCCTCGAAGATCGCACGTTGATATTGGATACTTCCCGTTGGCATTTGGACAGATTTCCCGACGTACACGGACTGACATTTTCGTAGCGTGGACTAGAAGAATGTGTTGTTACGTTGACGCTTTTACTGGCCGATAACTTGGGTGACGTTGCGGTGGAAACGGAGTTGAACGTGCTCTGGGGTAAACGATCGGAAGATCTCATTGAGTGCGGAGGAAATAAGGTCAGTTCTGAGTGTTCTCTCTGTCCAATTGTTGCTATTGGCAATGGTCGTGTTGGCAGCAGCGACAGTGGATGTAACGGCGGAGGTAAATGATGCGGCGGCGCTGGAAACGAATGACTCGATGTCGCAGTGTGTGATGATATTGACCGGCCGCTCGTAACTTGAAAATTGAGTCCCAGGCGATACAATGGATACGGGTGGAAAGGATAGTGGAATCCGTTCTGTAAGAGATAATGGTGACTTGGAATAGCCCATGCATGTCGATCCTGGAAAGTACTAGGATATCCAAACGCAGAACCAGTGGGAGATTCTTCCATGGAGTTGAACGACGCCGGTTGATATGGATTGGAAAATGTATGCCGCATAGGGCCGCGTGAGCCGAAAAACTCCGACTGCTCCCGGTAAATTCTATCCATGTTTCTGACTTGCCAGCACGTTTGGCTTAGTAGTAGTTGTCCGAGAGAGTCACCAGCGTGTCGCAATCCAGAATGAGAAATGCGGTTTTACTGAAAATCTATGGTAAGTTGATAACTCATTTCAGACAGTCATATTCTATTGGATAATTGCTGTTGTAAGTAGACGGCACCTGTTTTGGCGCTAACACCGCTTTGTTTTTATACACTTTTTGTCCCAATACTTGCTCTTTATTACTCCAGTGAAATACTTTCTATCCTCGAACAGTAGGTGATGTCACTGCGCATGCTCAGACAGGGATATAGATTAACATAATGAGATAAACTTTTACCTAATTTACATGTCGTTTATTCCACAAAAAAGACCCTCAACAAACTGAGTAACACGTTTTTGCTGTGTTTTTTTTCTTCCTTTTTTTAAAATGTGTCGCCTAAATTTGATTTTGCCTTTTGCGAAAACAACTTTTTCGATTTCATGTATATTTAAGTTTGTTGGTTAAAAATTATCAGTGAGATTTCCAACCCACGGCACAATTTACTTTTTAACGATAAAGCTTTGATATTTTGTACTAATTTTTTAAAAAATTATTTCCTAAATCTGTGATAGAGTGCTGCAAGTATCCTCGGAGAGTGAAATGCTGTACGCCGTTACCACGGCAACAACATTTAAGATGAGCTCCTATTCCATTTCATTGACATTGCTGCATGCCTTCCATTCATTTTTACTAAATACATCTAATTACGCAGAGAATTTGAATTACACGTTATTGTTTGGTAAATTACTAGATAACTTTGACGTCAGTGACACAAAAAGAAACCTGTAAACTGGCCTGAAGATTTCCCTGTGTTTTGTATTGGTCTTTTGGTTGTACGGCGCCAGTTGTCTTCCCTTCGCCAGTCAATACGAAGCCAGCCTTAGGGAGAGTTAACCACTGTTACGAATCAAACTTGATTTTATTCACATCTTCCATAATTGAACTTGACAGTACAGTACGTTTCTAAATTGGTCACTAAGAATGGACACAATTAATGTTAAGAAGAGTACGCCGCCAGTCGTCAGCGGAACAATGGAGGAACGCCGATTCGTCGCTGTACGGGTTTCCATGACTTAATTGGTTTCTTTTAAGGCAGCACTAATTTTGGGATTTATTTTAGTCGTATTCATGGTAAATCGAATATTCATAGTTATAATTACATACCTAGAACAGCTCGGAGTTCTTCCTAGCAGAAGGGGCGTCTCGCTATCCAAAATATACGATCGCTATAATTTCCGTCCACTCATGTGTCCCTCATGGGAAAACTCGCTAGTTCGCAGGGTCACGGACACTCCAGCCTCGGAATTCGAGTAAAAGTAACTTATGCAGCGCTCATATGCCTTCTGCAGCTATGTTTCTGGTGATTTGGTTGTCATTGTATTATTCCCAGCTATCG